GTAAACACCAGTAAACCGATTCATATACACAATGTGTATGTGTAAATGTACATATGTATATGTGTCACATCAAATTAATATTATATTAATAGTGTGTGAACAGCTATAAATTAACAATCACTTTTTGGCTTCAACTAACTGACGTTTGACCCAAAGTCACTAGCATACAAGGAAGGACAAGCATCGCATTAGGATGGTTCGAAAAATTTCGGGAAATTTTCTTCAAACAACGCGTTTTCCATAGAAGAACTTGATTTTGATGGTTCAGTTTCTATGCCACCTATGTGATTCTGAAAAGTGATCTGCGAAAAGTAATGCATGTCAAATTTTGTGAAAATATCTTTATTAAGAACTTTCTTATTTCACACAAATACGAGCATAAGAATTATTCATTTTGTACCTTTTAACATAAAAAATTGGTTTCATTGAAGACAGTAACAAAAAGAATAAATAAGATTTTATTATTTCAGGTATAAAATGTGATATGTATAAAGTTGCCTCTTTTATACAATACAGTGCATCAGTAAATAGAAGTAGTAGCCCGTTGCCGCGGGCGAGGGCTGGGCCGTCCGTGTTTTCCGGGTTTGGATGAGTGAAGGACAGGCCTCAGGGAACTGGGCTAGAACCATTGTCTCCGAGGGTACACTCTTTTATTTTATCTCTTTCGGCCCGCCCTCGTACAGACGATGCCCTGGAAGAAACAAAAAATTATGGAGAATTAATTAAAAGAAAACTACAAATGCAGCAGTAATATACATAGGTATAAGACTGTATGATGATCAACGGCACTCAAAGTCATGGTAGTAGAATAGCAGAATCGGAAGCAACACAACCGAGCTATGACGTTATGTTTAAACGGGGAGTAGGGGAAACGACCAAGAGGCTAACCGAAGCAACGACCGATCAGTAACCAAAACCGGGACCTACTTAGCTCGGTGACGAAACTCTACCCACGCGCCTAAAATGGGATCAACAGAGGCAAAGAAAGCAGACGAAATGAGGGACTTAGGCTCACAATTGTAGTTTAAACTCTGAAGAGGCCCCGCGAGGATGAGCAGCTGACACGAAAGACTTCGCCTAAGAAAAATGCCCAGGGGAAGGGGAAGTACAAAAGATGATCACTGAGAATTCCTCTTGCCCTCAATGGAGGCAACATTCCTATAAAACAAAGGAAAGATGCGGAGAAGGAAAATAAATGGACTCAGGCCAAACGTAAAACACTAAAACCGAAGAAGAAGACAGCTTTGTACCACGGTAGAGATCGGACGCAATAATTATTGTACGCTCTGGAAACATGTCGTATAACGATATACTCAGCGCTGTCAAAAAGAAAGATTTCCTTAAAGGTCTTGGGGGGATGACGCCCGGAGAAGGCAGACTTGGCGATAGTTTGTGAGGAAAATAAAGACATGAGCGCAGGTACCCGGATTTTGGACAAAGAAAACAAGGCTGCCTTATAAGCCTGTGCGGATAGAGCCTTCCAAGACAAGACGCTGGAACAATTTTACTCTACGCTGGCGAAAATAGGTGGAATCTAGTTCTACAGTTGCTACCTTTCCCCGAGCGAACTGCAAGGCGATTACGAAAGAATCCTCCTCAATGTTTGGGCAATTGAATGGGGTAGTAGCTACACAAATAGGCGAGGTAATGGTCTGCTCAAAACGTCCCCGTTAGATACAGTTCTGCTTAATACTGGGAGTAGAAATACCTTCGAGACGAATGGTCGCGGATCGACTATGAATATTACGTTCGACAGCAGCCCGCTGGATCGATCTGCAAGTTGGAAAGTGTGCGATCTCTATACATGTAGCGATCACTTTGCCATTATGCTGGAAGTCGGCAAGCAAATACGAAATCCACGGAAAAGGACCTTTTCGACCTCATGTTGGATGAAAACTTGGGTAGCTCGATGGACTTAGACCGCCAAGTTGAAATGCTGGTAAAGCATGTAAGCATTGCTTGCGACGCTGCTGTGTGTAAGAAAAGACATAACACATCCCGACCCCGTCCACATACTGGTGGAACGAAGATATTAGCATACTAAAAAGTGAGTGCCTGAGAGTGAGAGTGAGTGAGAGACACCTCTCCCACAACAGCCAAGGTACACCAGTGCACACAAGACTACGTAAATGCTTGTGAGAAGGTGGATGAAAATTGTTGAGTATCGCGTATAAAATCGTCATGGCGATGATCAAGAGAAGTAGAAGCCAAGCAGCAACTTGTCATACTTTTTAGAAAAAGTGGTGAAAACGCTTTTCCCAACGCAAGTGTCGCAATCGAGCAAAAGGATACCAGCAGGGGTGGAACCTTTGACAATCAACGTGAAGGAAGTAATTAAATTGGCGGAGGGGTTCGGCAACAATTAGGCGCCTGGATTTGAGGCATCCCAAACAAGGCACTTAAAATCGCAATCAAACATAGCAAGAGAGTCTTCGCTGAATTTTAACTCGATGCCTAAATGAAGGAATCTTTCCAAAGGTATGGAAGAAACAATGCGTATCGGCCACTTTATAAGTTTGATACGGCCAAAATGGAAAGGCTGATTAGCACAGGCCTGGAACGACACCTAGAAGATGAGTCGCCTGGCTTTTCTAAAAACCAATTAGCTTCAGGTCATCGATCCACCATTAACGCAGTCGGAAAATTTTAAGGCCATGCGGCCAAGACCATAAAAGGCACGAGATGGATGCACGGCGGGAAAGAAGACGTGAAAAATGATTTCAATTCTGCATACTGGCCGCATATCATAAGAAAATTAGAGTCCCGAAATACATCGGGGTATTTGATAAGGATAATTATTAGATATTTGTCTGATCCAAAAATCTAAATAGTGACAGGTAAATTACCACAGGGCCCAGTTCATTATTATGGATTCTGTTGCACGATGGGGTGTTGCGCCTACCACTGCCAAAATTAGCCCAGATAATTGGCTATACGGACGATATTGCTGTGACGATCGTTGCAAAAGAGCTTTTCCTTATTCAAAATATCTTCAATGAGTCCATAAAAAAATAAAAGATTGGCTCACGGCAACTAAGCTGCAGCTTGCCGGAGAAAAGACAGAAGCGGTGCTTATCACGAGCAGAAAAAAGCTAGAAGCTCAAGGTCACACTGAACATCAATGGCTACAACGTAGCAACGCCAAATTCGTTGATGTACCGATTTCAAGGCTCATTTTGAAAAAACCCTCGGGATGGCGGCTGCAGTGACAGCGGTCTCATTAAGAATAATGACCAACACTGGTGGCCATAGCCAAGTGGAAGAGCTCTACTAGCTAAAGTCAGCCAGTCAACACTGATGTATGCGGCTCCTATATGAGACTCATGAAGCAAGTGCCAATAAGGGAAAAGCAGTGGCCAGACTATGAGCTATTTGAGTTGCCTGTAATGGGATGTGTCAGAAAAGGGAAGATGGAGGCATAAGCTCATTCAGAGCATACCAGTCTGGATTGAGAGACAACACGGAGAAACAGACTTCTATCTAACGCAATTCTTGCCAGGCCTTGGCTGTTTTAGAAAGTACATCCACAATGCCGAAAAAAACACAGTGCATATCTTTTACTCATGCACGTGATACGCAGTGAAGAGAAGTACTATAAAGTGGATAAAGAACGAAAGGATTGTGAGTCACATGCTGCAATCGAAGTTAGTGTAGGGTAAAATGAAAAAGTGGCCAGCAATAGTGATCCTAAGGGAAGTGTGTGCAGAGGCATTCTTGCCCAGCATTGTCATTGATATATACATAACTCTATAATCATCTCTAGTTGTTTTAGATGTGAACAAAACGACATTCGTACAACGTGTTGAGAAGTATAAAATTAATTTGGAACACGTTGTTAAAAAGCTTATCTTATACTTACTTCCATGTTTCTCTATCCAGTATCCATCTAGTACATTCTTTGATTTTACATCTCCGCTTGTCTTTTGTATTTTTAAATTCGGTGAAGAGAGACATGAAAGTCCATTTTGTCTACGCCACCCATGTTTTTATTGTACATGGCAACGATATTTGGCTGTTGGATCTCAATTTTTTTTTGTTCCCCACAAAATCTTGAAACTTTATTGTTGTGAAATAATTATCAAAATAAATTTTAAAGTTTTTGTTTCCCTGATAAATCTCCATATCATATAATATAGCTTTTGGGCTGCAAACTGGCAAAATATTTTTATACTCCATTTTATAGATTTCTTTGGCATATATTGTCAAAGCATAGTTTTGTTCTTAAAGTACACATACATTTTCATCATAAAATACATCTAAGAGGGGACGAATACTATACAATTTATCATCTGAAGGCTGATCAAGAGAAAATTTAAGGTTATGCCGCAATACATGAAATCTAATTCTTAACTCACTATTTCGAAAAGAGGTAGTTTCCGAAGTTTTTGACCAATACATCGCTAATCGGCGGTAACCAATTGTTCCAATCATAATTTCAAGGGCTAAAAATTTATATAACTGTTCTCTTTTTAAATTGGCTGATTTTCCATTGTGCAAAAGAGAAACCTGGTTTGTTGTTTCGACCACTTTTTCAACAAATTCATCAGTAAAATATTCCAATAAATATTGTACAGGTGTTTTAGGTTTTTTTTTTAGGAAATTCAGTAAAATTGGCTTCTGGAATATGCCATGCTCCTTTTTTCCAACGGAACACATAAATTTCCTTAAAAGCAGCATCAGGTCATCGACACTTGTCTAGGCAGCTAAAAGATTATCTACCTCAAGATTTCCGACATTAATTTGGTAAGGGCTTTGGCGAAATAACTCTTCCCTTCAAAAGCATCATACAAATCTAATAATAAATCAGATTTCTTTGATTCTTTCAAATCGGAGATGTCCGACTCATCAAAATCATTTAAAGTTTTTTCAATTTCAGTATCTTAACATACTCTGTTGAGTAGCGGATTTTGTATTAGCTAAGTGCACAACCAAATGCAGGGTGCAAACGAGACCTTAGTAATTTTACTGTTAAACTTTAATAATTAATAATTAATTTAATAATTAACCAAACCAAATTTATCTTGATATGCACAACAATAAATTTCGAATGGAAACGAAAATAATTAGAAGAAAGATATTTAAATCATCACAAACACAAACTCGACGTTATTTCTATCACAATAATATGGCATCACGATCATTTTATGACAGCTGAATGAAAGATTTTTGCTTTGTGGTGTTTTTAATCATTTCGAGTGTGTGTACGCTGGTGCAATTTTTTTAGATTTCTGCAATAATTTATTATATATTCTAATGCTGTACATTATGTGAGAAACGCCAAAAACTTTTCCAATGGTTGCACACAAGGTCTGATGATAATAATATGAATAAAGCTACGCAACATTTATAAAGGAAAACCAAATTGCAACACTCCACCCAGTACGAAATTCGCAACAACAGTTTGAGTGGAAGTGAATATTTGCAGTTGAAAACGTATAGAGGAACAGACAACTTAAATAGCGCCAATACAACATTAAAATTACGTGGAGATACACATACACAAACATAATAAACAAAAGCAAAATTCAAGTGGCAATATGAAGCGGCAGCGGCCGCCGTCATGGCTGCGTCTGTTATTTCGACCCCTTCTCTGGTTGTATGCATTTCAAGCACTATGGCATTTTAGTGATGCCATACACCTCTCAGGCACTTTTCACACTGACGACTTTTTCAAAGTGATCACCAAATTTGGTTTCCAAAAGGCCGAAGTCAGAGTACCGCATGGTGGTTCATTTGGCTACATATATGGCAATATAACAACAACAGCAGATACATTTGTGCAGCCTATTTCATTAGTGGTGCTAGACAAGGTGGCATTTGTTGATTTTTATAGCAATCGTAGTCATGTGGATCATCAGTTGGCGTGCCAACGCATGTTTGCGCATTTGCAACCGCTAATCTATGATGAGGCATGCAACAAGCAGGGTAAACGTGATTATATACGTCGTGTACCATGCAAAGTTGGTCAACTATGCGTTGATGAAGATACGCCCAGCAATGTAATTTCACAGCGACAATTTACATACACTATAAGTGAAGTGACTGAGCCGAGGTAAGATAGCAAAGGCGGAAAGTGCCAGTTGATAAGATATCTGTGTCATTCTAGAGTGTGTGGTGTGGAAAAGTTGAAAGTATTAATTTAAAGAGCACATTTAATATCTGGAAAAAATATGATTCTGGAAAAGTAATTATCTGTTTAGTGTATACATCATAAATACCTGCTAGACAACATTTTGTACGACTATGCCAATCTTAATACGTGTATTTGTTTATTATTATTTTAATTTATTGTATATACATTTATTTTGATTATTGGCATATTTTTTGCTTTCAAAAATACTTTTTGCTAGTTTTGCAAACTTTATTTTATAGAAAGGTTTGTTATTCTATAGCGAAACCATGAAAATGTAATATATGTTGTGTTTAAAAGCAGTATTTGCTTGAACTCCATTGACAGTTCAAGCATACAATTGCTTCGTCCACAGGTTAATGAATCAATTAGATGAGTATAAAAAAGTGATTGCCCGGTAAAGTGTGGTGGTTTATCAAAATGTTTACTATTATTTTTTTCCTGTTGTGTATTAATGCGTACATATGTACATTCCTTAGAGTTTGCGCTTTTCAGCAGTTGTTTTATACTACAGTTTCTAGGAAACCTTTAGTAACTATTCACCATCTTGTTTTGTTTGTTGACGTGGAACTTTTTTGTTGGTTTAAGTTTTGATAATTGTGTTCAATTTAAGTACGATATGATTCGCAATTAAAAATGTACAATTATAACACTCTAACATACTATTTTTCTTTATAGATTCTGGTATGTGGCACTCACTGCCTGTTATCGGAACCGTACCACATGTAAATGGCAAGCATACGATCATCTCAAAAGTCATAATGAACTTACCTATGATATATACGTTGTCAACACGCATCCCAACAACTCCGCCGCCCATCCACTCACATTTCAGTTTTCTTTCGATCAACAAAACTTATTAGAAATGTATATGATATTTTTGCTAGTCTATATGGTGCTGCTACCGGTACAAATATACGCGGTGCGCCTACAAAAACATCCCGTCACACGTCTATTCACGCTCAGCTTGGCCAGCGAGTTTATCAGTTTGGCTTTCATCACAGCACATCTAATCAAGTTCGCCATAAATGGCGTGGGCATGCCGAATATGCAGACAGCGGGCGATATATTGGATATATTTAGTCGAGTATGTTGCAATGTAATTATATTATATTAGCATAATAAATTAAATCAATTTAATTTACTTTTAGACCACATTTATGTTGATACTGCTGCTGCTTGCTAAAGGCTGGGCCGTTACACGTCAGCAAATTAATCGCACTGGTTGGATTATGTTGATGAGTATATGGGTGCCCTATTGTGCATTTCAAATGTTCCTTTATGTTTGGGATAAGGTATGTGCAGCTCGCTGAAATTTGGTAAAACCCAGAAAAGCAAAAAATTAAACAAATGTATTTACTTCCAGACGGAGGTGGATATTATATCGGACATTGATGAATACCAGACATGGCCGGGTTGGATTGTCTTGATATTACGGTAAAAATTAATTTTATATGAATTAATTGTTATTGAAAACAACATGTTGATTTTTATACCCTCGCAACGTGTTGCTACAGAGTATAATAGTTTTTTTCACCCAACGGCTGTCATCTAAAACTAATCGAGTTAGATATAGAGTTATATATATATAATTGATCAGGATGAAGAGACGAGTTGAAATCCGCGTGACTGTCCGTCTGTCCGTCCGTCCGTCTGTGCAAGCTGTAACTTGAGTAAAAATTGAGATATCTTTATGAAACTGGGTACACATGTTTCTTGATAGCGTAAGACGCTTGGTATTGCAGATAGGCGTAATCGGACCACTGTCACGCCCACAAAACGCCAAACATCAAAAACAAATAAACTGCCATAATTAAGATCCACAATAATATACAAGAATGTTATTTGGTATACAGGATCACATTAGAGAGGGGCATCTGCAGTTTAAAATTTTTAGATTAATTGTCCATATCTCCTAAGCCGCTTAAGCTATAATAGCAAAATTCATCGAGAAAAAATGTTTTTAGCACCTCTGTCGACAGTGTGAAAATGAAATCGGGTGACAACGCGGCCTATTTCCCATATAACACCATTTTAAATTCCATTTGATTATTTCACTTTCTACTATGCAAATCAAGAAACAAAGATTGTAACGGAGTAAAACTTTGCGTGAGTAATGCGTTTAAAATATGCCACCTTGTGACCAAAAATTGTCTAAATCGAACCAAAACTGTTCAAGCCCCTAGGTACTGAATATGTGAACCCCAGTGCTTATAGCTGACTTTTTACCGAAAATATCGGTCAACATAGAACAAGGTGGCAAGATCCACAAAGAAATCTTAAACGAGTATACCATTTGACTTTGCGAGAGTATAAAATGTTCGGTTACATCCGAATTTAGCCCTTCCTTACTTGTTTGATAAAATTTTGTATAAGTAATAAATGTACACTACTCCCTGCAGCACATCATTCATGACTTGGTTCCTCTATGAACTGCGCAACACCATGAAATACGAGCATTCCACCAAAAAACTGGATTTCCTGCTGCACCTGGGCGCTTCTAGTCTTGTGTGGTTTATTTATTTACCCATTGTCGCTATTGTAGCGCTGCAAGTGAGCCCCATGTGGCGGTACAAGCTGCTGCTTGGCATCACAAATTCAGCGGACTGTCTGGCTTATTGCGTAATGACCGGCCTGCTGTGGCCCAATCGTTCGGGTCAGTATTTGCTGCTAGCCGGCAACAAGTACACGGGTGAGCACTTCATAATTATATATATTATGTGATACATCTCTTAAATACTGATTGACTCCTTCAAGGTATGGACGAGCTGGACGAATTCAACGAAGCGCCACATATTGTACGTGAACGTGAGCGCCGCAGAAATTCACCCGAGGCCATAGTGGTCGTCAATGGCGAGATAACGCAAGCACATGCAAATGGTGGCAGCGGCATTGGGATGTCAGTGGGCACTAACAATTTGCTTGCAACAAATGCTGTGAATAGTGAAGCATGCGTAGAGCTACTGGATGCAGAAGATCTGGATGCGGTACTTTTGACCGATTTGAATAAGAATAGTCATGTTGTGGCATAAGTGTTAACGAAAGTTGTAGTAGTAGCGCGCACAGAAAGATAAACGAAAACAAATACTGTACTGTAAACGCTTGTAATTTTGTGCGTTGTTTGAGGAAAACAGTTAAATGTGTATGTTTTACTAGAATCCTGCGTTGAGCGGACACGGCTAGTGGGCGTTCATAAAATTTCGATGCGCGCTTTTCTGTTAAAATGCGGTAACGAAAGTCGTTGTACATCATATGTGATGATTTTTTTATAGATATGTATATGTAAACGTTATTTAATTATACGTTCACAAATTTTGCTTTAGTTTTGTATGTTAATTTTTACTGCTTAAAAAATACGTTTACATTACATTAGCTTTTAGTTGACCATAGTTATAATATTTACAAAACTATATAATCGACATATTTCTATTGTGTGATGAAGTCAAGTACATTTGAATATATGTTTAGCAACAAAAGCACCAACAGACATTACTAATTATAAAGTAAGACAAACTCATTATTATTATTATGCACCTAGTTAAAGCATAATATTATACGATTTATGTATATGCATACATATATACATATAAGGTACACAATTCATATTTTATTCGATTATTACTACGATAATTTACATTACTTAGCATTGTAAGCACTGTTTGAATGCGCATATTATACATATTTGGGTAGTTATAACTTTAGCGGTAAAGAAAGCAAACAAGATTTAGAAGAGTAATAAAATTAATAACAAAAGAAGAAATATGCTGCAAGTACACAACGATTTTTGCAGCCTTGTGTTATATGGACTTTGTAAAATGAACTTATGATTATTACTGTAAATAACAAAGTAAATTTGAAAAAAAAAATAATGATAATAAAAGTATAATAAACAACAAAGAATGCTTAACATACAGAGATAAACGCATATACCTAAACGAGTGTCAAATTATATTTGTAAATTGCACAATTTTTTGCATATGTATTATATATTTAGTGCGTTAAGCACCCCTACATACCGGCCCCCACCCAAAAATATTAAGAGAAATCAAGGAAGAAGTTAAATATGATATCAAATATGTCAATAAAAATAAATTGAGATAAAAGAGATTATGGAAAATTTCAATAAAAAGCAAAAAACTAAATAAATACAAAAGGTAAATCGAGCGTTGGAAAAAAAATTAAATGAAAAGCAGTAATTAAAGAAAAAATAATACAAATTACACAACAGTCAAGAATCCTGAACTAAAACTAAGAGAAGTCATAAATTGTTGAAAAATAAATTATTCAATTAAAAAATAAAACAAAAATCTTAATTAATAAAACAATGCAAAAAATGCCACAAAATCGAAGATTACAATTTTATAAAAATCACGCATAAATCCACACAAAAACCTATATACAATCACGCCATGATTTTTCAAAAACTCACGGGTACTAAGTTTTTAAAACATAATGTCCTTTGAATGCGAAAATTCGTATTATTCGAGTTACAAAAACAACTATAACATATTCGTTTTACAAATTTAATTTTAAGCTGCAACAAAAACATACGTACATACACATCTACATATGTAAATTTAACAGCAGTGAATAGTAAAACGTTGATGAGTGTGACAAATCCAAACCCAAATCGGTTTAAGTTTTTAAGTGATGTTTTAAAAAGTGTTTTTATGCATAGCAAGTTGCAAATTTTTATGAAGTGAGTTGTAATACATGTATAGTCTTAAAAGTCAAGTCGGATTTATATTAAAAAATGAAAAAAATCCGAAAATATAGCAAGCAATTCTCAAACATTTGATTGGATGTTTTATTTTATTTCTCAAAATTCTTTAAAAAAACATTAAAAATTTTAAATAATATATACACTTCTACTTTTGAAAATAAAATAATTTCTCTTTCTCCTCCGAAATTATTTTGCTCTTAGATACAATAAGTATTTTATTGTTCGTTATACGCCTGAATTTTAAATTTATTTCTTACGAAATGTGTACTTTTGGACAGTTTTCACTTAATTGATTTTTAATTTTGACCATAGCAATTAATTTTTGCATCATATCTTTGCTATACGTACATATATGTATATGTGTATAACAAATAATTTTGCAGATCTGCATTTGATGTTTTTTACACATTTTAAATACAATAATAAACATTGCATTAAAAAAAAGAAAATATTGAAATGAATTTAATTTAAAGCAATTAACATCCCTTAAAAGTGACAAATTACACCACAATGGTGAAAATAAGCTGATAAGAGATAATCTTTTTAGACAAAAACGCTAAATAGATCCGAAACTATACCTAATGTGTTGGAGCTTACGGTTAAAGCAACCCAAGTCTTTTTTGATATTGTGGACTACAATTAATTTCAGATTTTTTGACAGATAAGTAAGCATTTGAACAAAAAATATTAAAATGGACATTCGTTTTAATTTATATTACAATGAAAGAAATGTTAGGGTCAAAACTGAGTTCTGCGCATATTATATATTTGTTAAGGTGATATTTTTAGACAAGTGGTTTACAAGAAGAAAAAAAAGGATTATAATTTATTATAAAGATAGTTTTAAAAATAATTTTGCGCCGCGAGTGACCGCCGCAGCTGGCTCGCATAAATACCAGTTAAGCCTAATTTTCGGCAACTTTTTGCAGCAATTGGAATTGAAATCTTTCAAGGCGTCAACCGTCTCGTGTTTATCTGCGTAGACAAGCGGCTTCACAAAACCCCAAAAAAATCTTGGCTAATGCGCTCACCTAAAGTGTCATTCAATAAATTGATTTTTTCGTTGTCTGTACGACATGTACCCCATTGACTGTAACACTATGCAATGATTATTTATTTTTTATTTTGTTGGTAAATATACCACCGGAAATTGAATCGAAATTGTCAACCTTGACTTTGTACTCGACAACTTTTTCCGTCAACTTGACTACAATTCCCTACAGTTCTTTGTTGTGCTGTGCCGAGTGCCCGAGCGAAAGAATAATTCCGGAAACTGCAGACATGTGATCTATAAATAAATTTGTTAATCCTGACAGTCCTAATAAGGATAATGGGAAACTGCTATCAAACTATTGCATTGTCATCGGTCGTTGACACGTGTGCAAAATTTCAAGCTGATCAGACTTCTAGAAACCGGTGAAAATTGAGCTCTAAGATTCCATTACATACATACATACATGCATACAACCCAAGCTAATAAAAACGTGTTAAAAAAATATAAAAAAGGGAAATGCGTGCAAATTTAGCAGGTATGTAATGTATATTTTTATACTCTCGCAACTTGTTGCTACAGGGTATAATAGTTTTGTTCACCTAACGGTTGTTTGTATCACCTAAAACTAATCGAGTTAGATATAGGGTTATGTATATATAAATGATCAGGATGAAGAGACGAGTTGAAATCCGCGTGACTGTTCGTCTGTCCGTCCGTCCGTCCGTCTGTACAAGCTGTAACTTGAGTAAACATTGAGATATCTTTATGAAACTTGGTACACATGTTTCTCCATACCGTAAGACGGTTGGTATTACAGATGGGCGTAATCGGACCACTGTCACGCCCAAAAAACGCCATTAGTGCATATCTCCTAAAAAGCTAAAGCTATAATAACCAAATTCAGTGGGAGCAAATGTTTTTAGCACCTCTATTGACGGTGTGATCGGGGGACCAGCCCGCCCATTCCCCATATAACGGCACTGTTAAAAAAAACTAAAAGCGCGATAAACCAAGCACTAAACACGCCAGAGACATTAAATTTTATCTCTGAGATGGTATAAGATGATTTTATAGGAACCGCGTTCAAAATTAGTCAGTGGGCATGGAACCGCCAACTTTTAGGTGAAAACCCATATCTTGGGATCTGCTTAACCGATTTCAACCAAATTTGTTGCATAACGTTCTTCTCATATTTTTATATTATAGTGCGAAAATGGGCGAAATCGGACTACAACCACGCCTATTTCCCATATAACACCATTTTCAATTAAATCTGATTCTTTCACTTTCCACTATGCATATCAAGCAACAATGATTATATCGGGGTAAAACTTTGCGTGAATAATACTTTTAAAATATGTCACCTTGTGACCAAAAATTGTCTAAGTCGAACCAAAAATGTTCAAGCCCCTAATTACTAAATATGTGGACCTCAGTGCCTATAGTTGACCTTCTACCGAAAATATCAATCAATCCACAAAGCAATCTCAAACGAGTATACCATTTGACTTTGCGAGAGTATAAAAGGTTCGGTTACATCCGAACTTAGCCCTTCCTTACCTGTTAAAAATACTTTTAGGATATATATATGGTACATATATAGACGTGAATGAACCATTGCGGTGTAGTACTTACTCTTAGTGAATGAAATAATTTTATGACAAATTAAACTCAGGAAAAAAATGTATAACCTTTACGGAAGAGCAAGGTTTCATTTTATCCAGGAAACTGTGTCTCATACACAGGTCAACAATGGTGGTCTCCCTAACGGAGCATAGTACAATTGGTATGTTTATATGTTGCAAAGGACAGTGCCGTTCCCGAACGGCGGTTTCAAGGGGCACGGGGACTTAGTTTGAAAACACCAATATTCCGCTGACTCAAATATTTTATTTAGTGTTTTCTTACGCCTCTCATTGCTTGCATTCGTGCGAAAGAACAGCGTTGTCATGGAACCAATCTATACTAGCGCAACCATCTGTGATGTGTTCAATTACTGTCGCGAAGCTGTGGTTACATATCAAATTGACCAGCAGGAAGTGCTAGGTAAAATTGGTGGCCCTAGCAAATTTGTTCAAATGTATGTCTATGTACACACATATGTGTATACTTTTTTCAAGCAGAAAAGTGGAAGGCCTGCCTCTAATTAAAAAGCACGTTGCGCCTGGTATATTTCAGCCTTCAGCGATGAAAATATGTACAATATTTCATTAACAACTCTTTACATAAAATAAATTACCAAAATATAATATACAAACTTGTAGTTCTGGGTCTCGTGTTTAAATATCGTCTATATACTTTTCGCTCTTCCGTACTTACCGCCCGTATTAAACAAAATTTGTCAAAAGTTATGCTTATAGTGGCGACATAGAAACCAGTTGCTCTCTTTTGTTTTTATTTCACCAACGTTGCTTTTTAGTTATAATTTTTCATAATGCAAAATGTCAATATGTAATGTAAATAGTCTACCTATTTATAAATAATTGTATACGCCTGTAATTTTAAGATAGTTTAAGAATATTACAAATTTAAGTTTATTTTTAATTAATACAAAATATCGAGACTGGCAACCCTGCATTGTAGAGGTGATCGTGAGAGCAATGAGCTAACTCGTTTAAATTTTCTCGGAAAATTTTCGCGGATATCCCATCCAAGGATGACTTATCCATGATCCCAACGTACGGCGGTAGAAGCGGTGGTGTGTGTTCACTTACATTGCGCTGTCATAAGATAGGTCGTATCAGCTGATTCGGTCTACGGTTTTGCGTCGGTAACTGTTTCCAGCATCAGTATTTCAGCATTTAGCGATAAAAATATTGTGACGAACTCGGATGATAGAACAAATCGAATCGACGATAAATTGATTGAGATTCAACTAGGCAGCGAAATTCGTAGTTGCCAGAATGTTCTAGGGGGGAAGCTTTGTTAAAGATCTACTATAAAAGGGCTGCCAGATTGTGCAGTTACAAGGTAGACGATTTCTCAAAAAATCCGTTACAATATGTACAATATTTTATTAACAACTCTTTAAATAAAAATTTAACATATTATTATATAGTTCTAGGTTGAGTATTTAAATATATAGTCCTCTTAAATAAGTTATTTGTTGAATATGCTATATTTCTTACCTAAAAAGTAGTTTAAAATTGCTTAAATATTTTTGAATGTTTGAATATTATTAATCTTATTTAGTTTTAACCCTTATGTTAGTAACCAACTTTACCGACGTCTTTTAGCAACCACGATCTGAGTATTATTATTATTTTGTTTATTTTATTAAAATATAAATAAATTTTCTTCAAATAGTAATAGTCAGTGACAATTTTAAGAAAAATAATAATAGCAACGTAGAATAAAAAAAAATTAAAAAAATTAACTCACAAATAGCTTTCTTTTAAGTTAAAAAACGACGAGTTGAGAGCTTAAAATGAAGTATTGAATTTTTTTAAGCTATTCATAACATAAGGGTTAAGGTATATGAGTACAAATAAGCGTCCGGGGGAACCGAAAATGTGGAAAATGATATAAAGCATATGTATATTGTTTGGTACAGAAAAATTCATGTTTTTATTTAGTTACAAGCTAATTTGGTTTGGGCATAACAAAGTACTTATATCAATATATTTAAATTATCAGTTTGCGAGCCAAGTGAGTGTATATTCCCGACCTTTGACTTCATAAATTTGCATACAAATGACCTCAGCTTGATGTTTAAATAGGAATTGGCATGCCCACGTTCGAGACTATATTTTTTAAATATATTCTCTTTCTTTTATCCCACAATGGTGGATGTTTTGCATATCTTCAAATTATCGCTGACATCTTGGTAGTTTGGAATAAATTTTTATGGAATACCTTTCAACTCTTTCGAAGCCATTTAAATATTAATTTTCATCGTCATCCTGTGTTACCTTTAAGTCCATTTTAATAACTTCCATCTGTTTTTGTAAACGCATGTTGCATGCATTTTCATTATTTATTTCAGGAAGATGGTCCTTGCACAAATGATGAATAAATTTTTACAACGGAAGCAAATTCGAGCAAGATGATGTTCTCAGCTCATCACCGTCCTCACCATCACAGAAATTATCGTTTAACTGTGTATGACGAAATGTTTATTTGCTCTTTGCGATTATTTATTACAAAAATGCTTATGTACCTTGTTAAAATTTTCGTTGCGCTGATAAAATTCAATCTTTTTACCATGGTTCAATTTTGCAAATTTATAAAACTTGTCGCCAGTTTTCTTGAATAAGCTTTTTCTGGATTCCATTTTTTGACATGGTTGCTTATTTGCACCTTACCAATATACCACAGTTAAAAATACTCATAAATATAAATCTTAATTAGTCTGGAATTTGCCAATAAAGCCCGTTTCTTTAAGAATATATATTATATTAAAATAAACTGTTTATATTTTGAAGAAATGTTAAAGTTTTACATATAACCAATATTTTTAGAACAAATTTTTCATAAATTTTAAGAAAATAACAATATGTTACTGAATCCCGAACTCACCTTAACTTTTCTCCATGGCGACCTCTCAGCTGTCGCTTTGTCTACATCTCATCAGCTGATAGTTTCTCTACTCCCCTTTTACAATGTTCCGAAGTAACATTATGAAATTGCAATCTAAATGAGTATGAATTAAGAATGAAACCAAGATTACGCCAACTACCATCTTGTGACGTAATTCTTTTGAGATGAGAGAGAGATTCTATGCATGTAAATTGTAATCAAAAATATACACACTTTTGTTAACTGGTGAAATAACTTATTTAATTAGTTTTTGGTGAAAATGAATAGAATAATGTTGCATGAAAATATTCGGGTAGTTTTCAAGTAAATACATTTATCTATTGACAGCATAATTGCCCATTTAGTGAATGGGTAAAAGGGATTCCCTACAAGAAAAGTGACAGTCAGTTGACCGGTAATTTGAAAGTGAGAACAGAAAAAATTCTGCAGCGCGCAGAATAAAGTTTCTATCATTTCCTTAAGGGTTTTGTGCAAAAACCTATTTAAACAAAAGTATTTGTGTGAGTCTCGCATAGCTCCATATTTTGCTTGCGGGACCGCCGGTAGGCATTTTTTCGCAAGGAGAAGCTTTAACCAGTTGAATCTGCGTCTGAGAGTTTTCCTACTTCTCTTTTATCATCTCTCGTACTTTCTCTGCCACTCCTTTCCTCTAAGCTTTACTATGGCTGTCGCGCACCATTCTCTAACCCAGTTCTACATCTGTTGGGATCGGATCATGTGCGGTACTATATTTTCAGGGGTCAGCCGCTCTCCAAGAAGTTTCTCTACTTCCTCTCTTTCATCTTTATAACGTGAGCACAGAAAGAAAATGTGCCATGCGTTTTAACTCCAGTTTCCACAAAAAGTCATACCTTTCGTCATGCCTAGTGCTTTTTGTTTTGTCGAAAAATTTTTGAGCTCTATCGCCATTATGTCTGGTGGCATGATACCTGTAATAATTGCAACGGCTTCATGAGACATAGTCCTGAAAGCGCCATTGCGTTTAAACGAACTACTGATCTCGACTTTTCCGCATATGTTTTGTGCTGCAATACTGTTCCCCATATACCTAAGTAGGTGCGGCGTACATTAGTACTGACCGGCTCACTTTGCTCAGGAGAGTGCGTCTACTCTGACTAGGTCCACCTATGTTGGCCATTATTCTCGTTAATGAAGCTGTCACACCTTTCCTAGTTTTTCACATGCTTTCTCAATGTAGGTCCGATAGTTTAACATAGCCTCGTGTCTATCATCACACCTAAGTATTTCAACGAATGTTGCGTTGAAATATTGTATCCATCAATGTTGAGCGTAGTCGCCTCTAGCTTTTTCCTATTTTTTATTATTATTTTTATCGCCGCGTGGTACTTTAACTGGCTTATTTCCTTTGCTACAACTGTTAGTGTTATGTCATCAGCATACCCGATTATCTGTATCTCTTTGGGTAGTGAGAGACGTAACACTCCCTTATAATAAATTTTCCACAATTGCGGCCCTAAGACTGAGCCTTGTGGTACTCCGCCTGTCACAATACAGTTTTCCGGTCCTTCATTCGTTTCATATAGTAGTAACCTATCCGAGAGGTAGCTAGATATGATCCTCAGCAGGTAGAGTGGTGTTTTCTTTCGTTCGAGAGCTTGTATAATATGCGCCCAATAGGCCGAGTTAGTTCCTTCAATTGCCTTGCTTGCGACCTCCGTTAGCTTTTTGATGACGTGTATTGTTGACCTGTGTCTTCGAAATACATATTGATTTTCTGCCAGGCCCAGTGGTTTTCTTTCTGAGTGTTCTTCTAGCCGTACATAGATTATATGCTCCAATATTTGTCCCATTATGTGCAACATACATATAGATCGCTACGAGCCTGGCTCCCCTGCTGGTTTATTTGGTTTTTGTATAAGCACTAGTCGCTGTTTTTGTTTTTTTTACAAATTTTAGGGAAAACTCCCTCTCGCAAGCACTGCGTATATAGTTCCGTAAACGGCGCTGATTTCAGTTTAATAGCGAGCCGGGATGCCATCGAGGCCTGATGCTTTAGAGTTCGAAAAAGCGAATATCTCGGCCGTTTAAATAACTTTTTCATCAGTGACTAGGAGTGCGTTCATTGCTCCAGATTCATCTATATGCCGCATTTGTAGAATTTGCGGAGGAAAAATGGTTTGGTCTACTGTTTTTAATAATCCAGCGCATGTTGGTGCTTGTACTTTATGACCTCTAACCTTTGTCATGTCGATCTTGTATGCTTGGCCTTGCTCTTCTCTATTATCTTTTTGAGGTAATTTCGCTTCTTCTTAAAGAGTTCGTAAAGCCTTGTGAATTCTGTCGATTGCCGTCCCCTTTGGCACTGGCGTCCACTGCTGTTTTTATGTTGTACGACGATTATTGCCACTCCAATTTTCTGTTCAAAGACTGTATGCGTAAGCACGTCGTGTGCTGCTTCGCAGTGATTGATGTTGAGCTGCAAAGCTCTCATATTTTGGCCTTTTACACGCTTCTTAGTAGAGAGGACATTTCTTGTCTCCTACCTGATGGTCTGATTTCTCTTTTCCTTCTTTTTTACATGCACCGCAGGACGGTTCCTTGTTGCATGTCGTCGCGAAGTGCCCTCTCTCCACATTTGAGGCAACACTGACTCCTATCGTCTGATTTTCTGCAGGTTGTCGCCAGGTGGTCACATTCCAAACATCTGAAGCATTTTTTGAGATTCGGCTTCTCCCTGATTCTACTTACCACCCATCCTATTTTAATTTTTCTTGCTTCAATAAGTCGCCTATCGAGGTCTCATAATTCTTTAATTTACGTACGAATAAAGTTAACAATGTCTTCTTCGCCGGTTAATTCATCGATATCTTGGAACTCATGCATTACTGCTTTAATTCTTGCTTGGTCACCAAGCACGAATTGGTCACCAAGCCTATTTCGATTATGTAGTCAGCAGTACTCTCCATTTGCGCGCTCTTAAGCTCCATCAGAATTTCACCTTTAGCCGTCTTTCTGATATGAGTTACACTTTCGCCCAGTTTTTGCAGGGCATCTTTTTTATTAACAGCTTTTAGGATATCGCCGTATGTTGTGCTCCTGGTTCGCGCAGTGATTATCGCATCGGGCATTTCTATGAACCTCTGGATTTCATTGCCAAGCTCCATCATGTGGTTTCCGCGCGGTTGTACCGCTTTCACCTGCGGCGTGTTCTCTTGTAACGTTTAAGGGGATCGCCCGCTTAAAGGAATCTATTTCCGTTATTGGCGTCTTTTGAGCCTAAATGTCACTGCTACTTTTATTATCACTTGTGTTGGTTGTAATTTATCTTATATAAAATTCCATTCCTTTCTCTTTTACTAGCGCATCGTGTGTAGGGGGCGGGCCGAAATAAACAAAAGCGGGTATACCATCGGCACCTACCCCAGTTACCTGAGGCTTGTTCTTCGCGTTACCGGTCACGGAAAACACGGACGCACCAGCGCTCGCCGGGGGCAACGCAGACTACTAATCTTGCGCCCAATGCTCATTCCCTGACCAAAGCCTGAAGGGACTGGTTGCTGATGCGGCTGACACCTCGGTAGAGTAGGCTCTCACCACCCTATCCATCTTGGCAGCAGATAAGTTGCTGTTATGATTTCAAGGGTGTTGTTGTGCGTGTCGTTTCGATACAGTCACAGGAACTTCAGCGGATTTGCTAGATTTTATACCTCATTCCAGTTTATACCTTCGTTCCAGTTTGCATTGCTGATTTTATGCTAACTGATGCCATTGATAGATTTTTTAATTACTGGCAGCTTTAAAGTCAAATGGATTATTCCAAAAGTGATAGTTTTAGTTCACTTGACGCAATTTCTTTCTCGCAACATATATCCTATAAAATTAAAAACAAAAACCACAAATATAGTAAAATAATAATATTAAAATTATACTTTACATAAATCACTTACAATGACATTTTAGCTAGCACAGTTGGTGTTGGGGTTAGGTTTTTGTACAACAACTTTTTAAATGTTGCAAGTTGTTTATTTACTCGCTTTCCATTTTTCGAATTTGCTGCAATGATAACTCGAAGACAAATGATCCGATCATCATGCATTTTTTTGCCTGTTCTGTATATAATTCTACATATAATGACCTATCACCTTTTTGTTCTAATCAAAAATGAAATTTTGTCATGCCAAAAACGATTAAAATCTGGAATAGAATTCAAATTTTTTTAAAACACCGCCATTTTGTTAATTTTTAATTTTTTTTGATCGTAGTTCATTGTCATTGAGAATATCTTCTAGTTTAGGACTTTTCTTTAGCGCGGTTGGAGATCTCGTGTAACTCAACGTTTTTTAGGCTGTCACCTAGTGTCCCCTTAAGAATTTTATTTGATTAATATTAAAAAACTTGAAAATTTTCTAGCACTATTGTTTTAGTTTTTTTATGTGTATTAATTTTTATTTATTCTTAACTTATTTTGCATGTCAAATTGCACTAACACGGTCGTCTTTACCAATACAAGCAAAAAGAATTGCAGCGAAGCTTCTTTATTGAACTCGAAGAGACCACATAGCATGTAGCGAAGTTTGTGACAACTTAGTTGTAAGGCAAATGTGTCCAACTAGATGAAAAAATAAAATAAATTACTAAAGACAAACATTTAGATTACAAAGCCAAAAATGGGTTGGGTTTCAGTAGAAACTAGACCGAAGATGAATTTCTTTGAGAGCACGAATCGTGAATAAAAAAGGGTCCAGAATAGTCGTGATACATGATCGCAGAATGTACTAGGAACTCGTAGAGGTCTTTGTTACAGAAGCTACTTCTGTAGCACATTACTACCAAGAACGTTACGACTGCATATATTCGCCCATGCCCTGACTTGATTTTTCTTCAGACGGAATCTGCCCCATTATCATGAATCTTAGTGTTTCTATTAAGATAGGGCAAATTATTGCAATAATTTTATTGAATGAAGTTGTAAAGACATATAATAGATTAAGATCTTTAATTCACTGATTTTAAAAAGCAGATACAAACAAAAATCAACTAGTTTTGCGGTTTATAATATTCCTATCACGCAAACGGTGTTTAGTTTGTATTGACCGTTAAAACTTCAAACATGTATTTATAACAGCCGAACCCGGATTTTCATATATCCAACCCAGAGGTACAATTACAACTGCATTCCCTAATTTTTTTCTTTCCAACTGTTACAACAGTAACTATATGTTAGTATATTGGATATTAACGTAATAAGGTTCGTAAGCTTTAAAATATTACGTCTAATAATGAGAAACATGTGATAAAAGTACTTAAAAAATAGGACTCTAAATTCTAGAAGTCGTTATGGAGCAATCTCACTAGTCGGATGACCGTTTTTTTATTAAGAATTGTCTAACTAAACTCAAACAGTTCTAAAGCCCAAGAAATTGTGGTTAATAGTCGTTTAATATAAATACATGTATAAAATACTATTTTACCACTTTTCTCAAGCTAATGCTGTCACAGGTATCAAGGAGCGCGACGTGTTTTCTCAGTAACTGTCCGGTACGATTGTATTTTACCAGCACTGCATCCAGCATACCCATAGCCATTGCCGTATCTCCAAAGAAGACGGCAGTGAAGAACAGTTCGTTGGTCTGCAACCACAAGTTCCTTGTCTGATTCTGGCTGAGGAGGAGACAAGCACCATATACCGTACGCATATTGGCCGTGAACAGGCGCAGTAGCAGGGCAGCCAATGTCAGCTCGACGATTTTGAATATGCGTTGCGTCAGACGATAGCCAGTGAGGTGTAGCATAGCCAGATTGTTTATATGACTAGCAAACTCTTCATCTACAGATTTACAAGACATTGGACATTGCAGTTGCTCGAAGATTGCTTTTAGCTGTGAATTTATCTGAGAAAACTGTCTGTAGAGTTGACTGAATATATAGAAGAAATTTCCCGAGACGGTTAGCATAAAAGTGTTCAACGCAAATGAGATAAATGTGATCGAAATGTACCGGGCATCAGTGCCCGGGTGCTGAGTCAAGAAATTATAAGCATTCATTATAACAAGAACATAAGCGAGGCAGAATTTTAAAATAATGAGATTTGCTACGCGGTGCTCGATGGTTGTCCTATCAAGCTCACTCTTTTTCTCGACATTCCCGTCAATTGGTCCACTTGCAGCTTCAGTGAATGCCTTAAGCCGAGTTTCCAGCGCACAATAATCTATATACGCCAACTTTATGAGTTCTCTTTTGCACCATATCTCTTTGACGAGCACTACCATGAAGAGATTCTTCGTCAGATGTGTAACGCTGTAGGTCCACTGCAATATTGGATCGTTTGTCAAGAAGCCTCTGCTGAAGTAGTAGTAGCCCGCGTAAGTTGTGGCAATTACACAGAAAATATGCGCAAAAGCGCTGTACACGAGATAACAAGGTGTGACCCGAAACTCAAGAGTTCTTCCATATAGTGGAGCTGGCAGTAAACCCACAATGAGCGAGTTGTAATAAGAATTATTCAGCACGAAGCGAAATAAACGTGCGCGTAACATTTTTTGTATTCTACTGAGGTGTGAATAAAAGCTTTAGCTAGTTGCTTTTAAATGTTATTATTGCGTGTTTGTTATTATAATCAATTATAGACAATTTATTTGCTGATACTATCTACTGGGAGGGCTTGAATGGGGGTAGAAAAGAAAGGGGTTTAGCCACCACTGCACTACAGAAGTAAAAACAACTACAAAAACAACTCATTTAATTCGAAATATTCTTAATATATCTACTGAGCACCCTGAAACTTAGTCGGAGTATAGTAGAGTTTCCATAAGTATGTTCCCGACCATTACAAGAAGCAAAGTCTACTGTCTTTTTTGTCTCAAACACTCTTTTGAATTGCTAAACTTACTGGGTTTCGATGGGGTATGTTGAAGAGGTGTTCAACAATTTACTTAGTTTCTGCGCTTGAAAAATACTCGATCAAAGTTTATCAAGATATCTGTGACTATGGTATGGAGCTCACCTTGAATAGTGTTTTTAGTGCTAGAATCAAAATTCAAGTAGAACGCCCAATCATATCTGTAAGTGGAGTTTGTTAGGTCGAGAGCTTTATAGAGGCAATAAATCAAATCACATTCTTCTTTGTTAACACACAAAGATTTCGTATATATCTAGCTAATTATCTCTTCTTCTTCGAGTATAACTCAGCCTTTAGTCGTGCGTACTTGCTAATATTTTTTGAACATACCAATGTGTCATCTCCCCCTTGAGTTAAAATTTTATGGCCACTGGTCAAGATGTGTGGTTGATGTTTAAAGTTAACTAATCTACTTAATAGCATCGCGATGGTGTGCTAGTTGCATAATTTATAAGAGTGTCAATATTTGGCCAAGTCTTTGCTACTATCGTTGACTAGTAAAGAGAAAGTATATTAGCAAGAAAGCAGAAAAAATATTTAATAACTGAGGTCAGAAAGGTTGAACTATTGCTGTAATATAAATGAGTAACTATAATTTGAAGGTGTTTTTACTATAAAATTTTATAAGTAGAAAAATTTTAAAGCTTTTAAGAAAGTTGAGAGAGGGAAGAGCTTTCATAAGCATTTAAATTTACACAACATTATAGGGCAACCCAACAAACTGCACAACTCTAAAAAGAAACCAAGCTGATTTTTACCACTTTATTAGCAAAATTGGAAACAGAAAAACTATACGCAGATCAGAGAACGTGAAAGCAGAGAGAGAGAGAGAGAGAGAGGAGAAGGTGCAGGCTCGATAGCGAACAATTGAAAAATTTTAACTGGGAATTCTCCTCACGACGAAGGAGTTCGCCTCGTGAAATATTAACATTATTCGATTTTTAGCAAAAGGAAACTTAAAAAATTAGACAATTTCTGTTGGTAACATTTACGTTAACAAAGAACGTGAAGCAATTGTTGCAAGTTCTCTAGAATGAATGTTTGCGTAAACGTTTGGTATTTTAGAAACTTTTAAAGAACTATTCCCTTTTTGATATGTTTTGAGATATTTATAGAATTTGGATTTTATATAAATAGTAGATTCCTTTAAAACATATTTTATACATATATATATATGTATGGATAGTGAGAAAAGCAAGGCCGTTCAATCTGTTTACACTAGACGTATTCCACAAGTAAGTTTTCAGCTTGCGAAGGATTGAAAATGTTTTTTTACTGGGAGCAGCTGATACCGGTAGAGTTTCAGTGATCTGCAGATATCGATGCATAACTTTTTGTTACAAATATTTAGAGTTTCAGTGAATGTTTTTTGTTCTTTCCCATTTAGTATCCTCGAGTATAATCTGAAATTCGAAATGTTTTCATTCTGCAATAACATTTATTAATTTAAGAATGTTTCGAATGGAACTTACCTACTTTTTTAAAATCAAAATTATGTTATTGTATACTGTAGAACTACAAAAAATAATTAACACGCATTTTTTATTTTCCCATTAGAACAAATTCTTTCATAAGTTATGTGAATTTAAATTTTGCATATTTAGATATGTATGTATGGTATACTGTGAATGCTTATAAGGTGAATAACAGTTGAAATACGCCATTTATAACTTCTGTACAAACGCTCTATTATCAATTACTGAGAAATGGTATAAAGATAATACGTGTCAACTTTTATTTTATTCAAAATCAAAATAAAAATTCCCGATTTAATTTAATGAGTTTAAGGGTGCAAGAATGGGATTTTTACAAGCCATAAAATAAACATCCTTAATTGAACTCCTCGTATCTGATTCGAAGCTTGTTTAAGTTTAATTTCCACATAGTAGTATCCGAATGGATTGGTACGGGCATTGCGTATAAATGTGGGTCATTCCCTTGGAGCCTAAAAGGTTCGATTGCGCATAAATAATTATATTGTACTATGCACTGAATCTACGGGCAATATGGTATGACCCAGAAGCAAAAAGAAAATTTGATATTGTTTTTTTATAAAGTTTGAAAATTTTAAAAACTACTTTCTACAATATGAAAATTATTATAGAGAGCCAAAGATATTTCATTGTATCCTCGTTTACGGTCCTCGTCTCTCCATAAAAAACATTTCTGGTACTATTCTCATATACGCTAAAATTATAGTATGAATATTTTCGAGAGTGAAAATATTTTTATTAAGAGGAGTATTTAAAACTTAACAGGTCACTGAATACTACAAATACTATAATTTAAGGAAGACGTCCTTACAGACAATTAATATATTATATTACATTAAATTTTATATATTTAGTGAAGTTGTTAACTTGACTTTTTTGCTGTGGGCCTCAGAAAAACTGCGCTGTTATCTTTATTAAAGAGAACATCTCATATGTTAATGAATGCAACACAAACATATTAATCTAGTTATTTTTTTTCACATTATACGTAAATATTTTGTTTTGTTTTTAATATTTCATCACAGTGATTGTAAAGGCATGTTACATACGCTAAAATGTAACTCTCCATATCTGTCTAACCAGAGAACGTAACAAGTTTTACGTAAAAAGATTTTTACATTCTCTGCTTTTATGTTCTCTAGAATATTATAATAATTTATCAGATGATGATTGGGTAACTTTAGAACAACCTTGCATCAAAAACATAATTTCATAAAAAATGTTATTTCGCAAGAAAGATATATTAAATATACTTTATAACTCATCAAATCTATATTTACTACATATGTACCTACAAGTATGTACTTTTTCTATATTTCAAATGATTTTGTGCAATTATCTAGGAATAAAAATGATAATAAAATTTTTATTTTCAGTTTATTCATCCTTTTCAGTTTCAAAAATTATAGTGTACTTTAATTTATATAATTTTTGCTTACAAATTATTTCCAAGTGGCGTATTTACGTAAATAATTCATAACAAAATCTTAATCATTCATATATTCTTGTAAAATCCACATATTTTCTTGTAAAATATGAATACAGGTAGGAATCATATTTATATTTCTATACTTTACAAGAGAATGTTAATGAATGGAGAAGGCGCAAGTGTCTGGCGTTACCTTCATATGCAAGATTTTCTGATTGCTATTTTTTGGCAAACAGGGTTTTTTACAGGTTTCTGCTCAATAGCAGCGAATATGTTAGAAAATGGTGAATTCCTAAGTCTGTTAACTATTCAATCGAACATTATACGAAATTCGATTTACATCTTTCCCTTCTTCCACGTTCTCTCGTCCTCTGGTATAGTTTTATTTTCGATGTTTTGTGTTTCAATGTTCCCTCTTGTAAATATTAAAATTTGGAATAAAAAAATAGCAGAGACTCTTAATAATTTATATATATTAACTTTCTGTCGAAAACTTTCCTAAGCTTTCGTTATAATTGTTGCGAAAGTGTGCTCACAAAAAGCGCTTCTTACTGTGAGCTTTTTGCTATAAGAAATAACGGTTTAAGCGAATATCCCATTAAACTGTTTTTCGAAAAGCTTATGAAAGCGTTTACGGTGCTATCAAAACTGTACCATACGATTCTCTGGTGTATCTGCACTTTGGTCACAGAAGTGACACAAATCCGTAGCCTGCAGTGACATGTATATTATAAAATACGACAAACTGCCTTAATTTTTTTCTCGGAAGAGCGATTAGTTTCTTAAACCGTTTTGTATCGAACTTTTCAGAAACAGCCTCGCCTGCCGAAGCACAGGCATTTGTTGCCAGTGGCGATTTCTACTAGCCCTTTCTTTTTTCCGCAGCTCATCTCGTAAAGTGTGGGGGCCCACAGCGAAGATCGGTTCCGGTCCTATGAACTTATTGCTGCAACTTCTTTCGTTAGGCAATCGGCTAGTCCAGTTCCATGCTAGTAAGATGTTATTTTCCGTGACAACCCTGTTAAGCATTTTTATGCACTCCAATACCATTGCTGATTTGATTTTAACGGAAGAGACTACCTGAAGTGTACCTGTGGCCTTACTATCACTGAGGATTACAATTCGTTCCCCCAGATAGTTTTTCTCTTGAATAATGTCTGCACATTTACTAATGGCATAGACCTCAGCTTGAAAATGCTTGGAAACGTGCCCATGAATTGGGTAGGTGGTCCCACTATACCAGCCTCAATTCTATCTGCCGGTTTTGAACTGTCTATATACCATTGCATTGTGTACCTACTCAAGTACTCCTCGACGTTGTAGTTCTTCTATTCACTTATACTACCCAGTGAGACTTTGAACCCCATTTCAAAGTAAATTCTCTTGGTAATGTCGTCTCTAGGAAAGAATGTCAAAGGTAGACTCTCTCCAATGACACTTTGTTTCTGAGGGCTTATTACCCTGTAATTGCCATATCCCGATGATAGGCCATATGAAGTAGAGTGATGCCCAGAATCTCCTCTAGAGCAACGGTTGGACACGTGGACGTGGCACTTGTGATACATACGCATGCCACCGTGTGCAGTTTTGTCAGCTGTTGGTCTCAACAGTTTTGAGTGAGACTTTTGACCCCTCATGATGCCACTCCATATGTGACCATTGGTTTGACTATCACGGTGTACATCCATCGTAATGAACCTGGTTTGCTGTCCGAGGTTCTATCAGCTAGGAGTTTGCACACCATTAAC